AAAGTTGGCAGAAAAGAGAAGGCAATGGAGACGCGCAGCTGAAGCCCTATGTTCCTCTAGGAATTAAAGGATATAATAATAATAATAAATACTTGAACTTTAAACGGTGAGAATCTATAACTCTGCTGCAAGAAAATTCCTCCTGAACCTAATTCTAGTTGGTTAGTCAATACTTCATTTTGTTTTTCTCTTGAAAGTTTGGATATCCTCATTACACATCAAGCTCTACTAGACAAACTGAACCATAACATATATATATATATATAAAATTTAATAGTTCTCAATCATCTGTGCTTTTCACTATGGAAGAAGAGCTGAACTCCGCAAATCATTTCTTGGATGTAATGTTAGAAAGAACAGAGGAGGGTACATTAGAATAGTTGATCTACCGAAAGCCGACATTTATAGGTCAGTGCACTAACTTCAATAGTTGGGCACCTCTAGGCAGGAAGATAGATCTTATCCGATGTCTGTCCTCTGGAATTCGGAAAATTTGCTCTGTAGATACGGTCGACTTAGAATTAGAAAGCTTTCGCATAACTCTCCTAAATAATAGATATCCTAGAAGGTTTATCAACAGAACCATCAAGAAAGAAACCATTCTGATGTGCCAAAGAAGACATTGTTTATGAGTTTGACTTTCAAAGGTAACAGTATTTCTGAGGTAATTAAAAGTTATTTATCTAAATTTATTAAACGGCGTTTCATGCAACTGACTTGCATTTAGTATTTACCAGCCAAAATATGATTCGACAATGTGTGAAGAATAAACTACCGCTTATGTCCATTCACATGCTCCTGTGAAGCTGACTACATTGGACGTTGTAAGCGTAATCTCCGTAAACGCGTAGCTCAGCAATACTAGGTTTGATAAATGAAAGGTGAGAAAAGGATAACAAAGCCTTCAATCTGTGAATACCTTCTCAAGTCAAGTCATCCAGCCCCCCCCCTTGATTTATCCTTTCAAGTTATCTACACGACCAAATCCAACCACTTCAAAGACTTACGTTTCCTCCACTTATGCTAAGCTGAAGCTCTAGCTATACATGGATAGAAACTTAAATTATGCATTTAAAAACGCTTTGTCAAACCCCTTTCTTCGCCTTGGTCATAGTTATGTTCTTTTATTTTATTTTTATTTTACCACTTGGATTCATTCTGCCTTACTTCATCTTCGACGTCTTTACTGTTGTCATCCTAGTCCTATAAATTTCGTAGACAACGCTTGACCTACAATTTTAAAATCTTTATACCAGTTCACTTATTTAATAATCTTTAAAAGTTTTGTAATTTATCTACTTCAACTCGCTTATAAACACAGCAGAAGTACTTTAGATGCAGCTGCAGTCTTGTACCACAACATTGTCTGCAGCTTAGACAAGGAGGTTAAATTTGTTCGCTGCACCTTCCTAGATTACACATCTGCTTTCGAATCAGTACCTAGAGACATTTTGTTAAACAAGCATGCTGAAACTCAAACTGACTGTTGGGTTGTTAAATGGCTGCATTCTTATTTCTCAGGAAGAAAGCAGTACAGTGTATGTCAGGGAAAGTCATCCACTTCATTGCTTACTGAGGCTGGTGTCCCTCAAGGTGCTGTCCTTTCTCCTTTTCTGTTTTCTTTCTTTGTGCATGATTTGCCTCACTCTGATGAAATGAACTTTGTTAAGCATGCCGATGATCTAACTATTTCAACGTCTGTTAACTCCCAGCTTGCCTGTGCTAAGATGAACAGCTTTCTATCAATAGTTAGCAAATGGTCTTCGTCTAACGGTCTTAAGCTAAATCCTTCCAAATGTCAGACTGTTCATTTCAGTTTCCGATGTAAAAGAAAGTTAAATGAGACTGGTGGTTCCTATGAACCTTGTAAAATTGATGATGCTGATATAGAAATCAAGTCTAAAGTTAAATATCTTGGATTAATTCCTTCTTCTGACCTATCCTGGTCTTCCCATGTCTTAGCTATTTCTAAAACAATACTTCGTCTGACCTTTTACATTAAGAAGTTGGGGCACTCAGGCATAACACAACCACTCCTCTTACAGTTTGTCAACTCGTGCATGTTACCTATTTTTCTTTACTGTTCACTCTTGCTTATTCTTTCCCGGATTTCTTAAAACAGACTATGTCATACTTCGTAGAACTCTGAAGACTGTCAGTCAGTAGAGCGAGTGGTATCCCGTTGGGCCATATCATTGACACTGTCAGTGATAGGCACTTGATGTCATGCCAAAAATTTGCTAACGGAATTTTGTCAGACTGTGAGCACCCACTCTACGCGAATCTCCAACCTTGCGTCTCCTCCTCCTCAGGTAAAACAATAAGTCTTTTCAGAAGACCTTATGCACATACGTCTAAGTATAAAAATTCCACTATACCATATTTGGCTGCACGTACTTTATGTGGTGAAAAAAGTGTCAGGCATGAACTAACTAACTAACCTTCTTTGCACTATTAAATAAACCATTTCTTCCATCCTTACAGTACCAAACTTTGTTGATATTGTATTTCTTATATTTGTAATCCTCTCAATTTTTGTTTTTATTTATTTATTCTTCATAATTGTGAACATCAACAGAACATTAGATTCAATATTCTGTAGCAACATGCTAAAATTTTCAAACTGAATAGACAATACTGTTTGAAACAAACTCACTGTTAATATTATTACTATTATTATATTCAATATTCTCAATTCGTGCTTCGAATACTTTTGACTTTATATAGTAAACGTGGACAAATTCATCTGGTTACTTTTGTTTAATTTTTAATTTTTTTTTATATTTTGAGTAAATCAGATGCAAGATGTTGTGACAAATGCTGAGAATTCCATTGTGTATTATAAGTACTGTTTTGGAATAAAGTAAAATAAATTATTAAATTATTATTAGTACATCATTTTAATTATCTTTAATCTTATCATATGTGCGATGTTGACTGAGCAATTTCTAGTGATTGATATTGTTTTGCGTAATATGAATACGACTGTACAGTTATTATAAATTTTTTAAATTTTTATTAATCATTTTGATGGTTAGTAAAAATCCAAGTAAATCTGCTGAAGAAGCTGTGGCTTACACGGCGAAACGTTCAGAAAAATCTTGTTTTGATTTTCTTAACACGCTGGGATTAATTTAAATAATTTATAATGAATTAATCTGACTCGGCGCTCAAATTATTCCAGGAAGTTCGTAGCACCTACGGTCTGGAAACCTATGACTGTACAGTTAGTTTGAAAATGAAATCACTGAAAAGAAATATTTTTCCCATGAACAAAAAAACTGTGTTTTTCCTTAAGAATTAATGGGCATATTTCGTGATTTGAAGGAATGCAAAGATTCACCAGTCAGCAAGCCGTATTTGTAATCTTGAAGGTACTTATATCGCCTCTGATATTCAAACCTGCATCACCCATTGTCGCAATCAAAGACATTACCACTAAGCTATTGGGGTTTTGAGAGTGACCACACACACACACACACACACAGACGAATGAAATGGACCAATGCTTCTGGTCGATTACCTCCACCTATCTAACAACATTTTAGAATACGCCGTAATGGGAAGCCTAGCCACCTAGCATAGTGGCCTACATTACAAACTTGACTAACAGAATTCATAAAGCACCCACCACACATATGTCCACACGAATGATACTAGTTACAACCTGTGTCCAAGCGAATTACACTCTTTTTTATTTTGACTACTGGCCTATGTTGAATAAAATGCTCAGATCACAAATTATTGTTTTTACGAGTTGATCACGGATTGATATCAGTTAGAGGACCATTGAAAACCAGCACTGGAGTACTGGACAGCTGCTGTTTCATCCTAGTTTGGGAATCATCGGCAGTACGCACCCACCAGAGGGGTTCGAACCCAGGACCTTCCGATTACAAGGCAAGTTGGTATACCATTCAGCCACTGGGACCCGATTCAATGGTTCATGAATTCTAACTTCTACCAATTCGTGAATTTAGCGCGACTCCAACCATTGTCGTTGCTGGGACATCCATCCACACACGTGACATCTAATTGGACCTCACTGGTCACGACTTCTCACTAGAACTCAGGAAACTCCAACCTGTAGGAAGTCACTAGCGAGCTGATGATTCTCAAACTAGGATGAAACAGCAGCTGTCCAGTACTCCCCTGGTTTTCAATGGTTCTTTAACTGATATCAATCCGTGATCAATTCGGAAAAAACATAACTAACCCTTACAAATCAAACTATAGAAAATAAATTATTGTGTCTTTGAGGGGAAGGGAATACTATAAATCAATGTGTTCATAAAAAGCTGAACATCTGAATATCCAATCATTTATTTGGACAGCTGCTGAAAACATTTATTAATCTCTGTGGTGTGACAGATAAGTAGAACTGTTACACCCCCTCCGCGTCGTCTATTTTTTCTCACCAACTGGTATACGCCTACAATAGGACAATTTATTTGTTGTTTTTTGCTTTCATACCTTATGAGTTGTGAGTATAAAACAAGAACATCTCGAAAGAGAAAAGCCAGCTACCTTTCAAGGTGTTACATCTCTCATCAGGATGGATGTAAGTGTTAGTCTAGCTAGGTAGATAGACATATATATATATACTAAAAAATTGAGGGAGGCATTATAGAAATCAGATGGAAAACAAAAAAGTAGTAGTATTTTCTCACACCTTTCTGTCCATATGAACCAATTAGATCAAAATAGAAGAAGGGAAGAAGGGAAGAAAGTAAGAAAACTGAGAAAATATCTACAGAAATTACTCAACAATTAACTTATGCTTACAATAACACACATACACACACACATCAGTGTAACAGTATTATAGGCTTGACAATAGGCAGAATAACTGTGAGACACGGATGTTCAGGCCCCCACGCCGCCACCTTAAAAGGTCATATGTTACAACTGGTGATTGTAGAGTGAAAAATTCAGATTATATTTTTCATTAATCGTCTTAATAAATTACTACACAAAACAGTTGGCCTCCGCATTATTATTTTTTTTTAAACACGAGTGAAGTGAATAACACAGTACTACTACTTAAATTCAACAAGTAATACATTCTATCAGATATTCTTGTAAGTTTACTTGAAATATTCATATATATATTTTACGATTTTTTCTGTGTTACTTTGTGAAATCAGTTGAAATTAAAGTAGGATTATATCACTACTTGAAATCTATTCATGTTCACTACTACTACTACTACTACTTATAGGTCTGTCGTTACGTAATCAAATTGTTTAAATGTATTTGAGTCTAAGAACACGTTAATAGCTCCAGTACTCCCCATTGATTTTTAATGTTTATCTAAATGATATAAATCCGAAGTCAAGCTTGAAAAATAAATCAGATCCCTTATGAACTAACTGTTGAAAATTAATCTGATGTTTGTTTTTTGACTGACCACAGGATGAAATTTCATAGAGTTCTAGTGAGAAGTAGTGACCAATGAGAGGTCCATCCGGTCGGAAGTGTGGACAGAAACTCTCCAGCAATGACAATTGGCTGGTCTCAATCGGGCTCTAATCACAAAGTGGTAGAAGTTAGAATTCATGGATAACCGGTTGGGGATTTGAACCCTTGAAGTAGGCACGCACCTACCGCTGAAGAGTCTCGAACTAGGACGAAACAGCTGCCTAGTACTTCGTAGTTTTCAATGGTCCTCCAGCGGTCATACTGAGAAAAGATTAAATCATAATAAGTAAATTACCATTCATCAATTCATTTGTCTACAGATAAGGGAGAGGAACGGAAAAGATCACTATGGATTAATTTTTTGAATTCAATCGTCAAACGTTTCATCTTGTTATAATAAAGATTTTTGTATTTCCCAATGAATGAAAAACAAAACGATATTGTTGTTTTTACTGACGTTTCGCTATTTAATGCTAATAGCTTTATGAAAGTATTATTAAACCGGAATTTACAAAATCCACTCAGCTCATATATAACAAAGAGTTCAGCGGTGAGAAAATAGACAAGTTAGGTCAAGTTAAAGAGCTATATTGAAAGTCAAAATAACAATGAAGATCACTAAACCAAATGACAAAGGTAATAGTACATCTCTTATGATATCAAAATAGAGTTTACTAACTTGATCATTGTTCGTCTGTCTGGGGTCATTTTTCATTGTTAAGTTGGTCAATTTGTTTGGTAAAGATAACAAAACCGAGTGTAGGTTGTTGGATTTGATCAGTGTGTAAAATTATAAAAGCAGCGTGTGTTTATATAATGAAATCGCTCATCAAATTCGTGTTGATTTTGTCACTTTATGGGGGGGGTGGAAGGGAAAGGGGTGTGGTAACTAGTTTAAATTCTGTTTTACTCCATCATTCCTATTCAGACAATTTGGATTCCACTTTACTATATGAAGTTATTCTGATATTAGACGTTCTTTGTGATTTCTGAAATGCTTTTTCTGGATGATGATTTCAATATTGTCAAAATCAATTTTGTGGCCTAATTTTTCAAGTTTTTCTAGTTTTAGCTGAATTTCTCGGTAGTCGAATAGATGCTCTTCTGATTTTGATTTCTTGCGACGTTTGTCCGATGTATATCATATCATATGCCAAGCCAGCATTTTATTTTGTAGACACAATTAGATAGACAAACTTTAGGGATTTGGTCTTTTATATGGACAAGGTTGCTTTGTAGTGTGTCTGATGTTTTGAAGAAAACTCTGGTGCCGAGCTTATTGATTACTCTCGCGATATCGTCTTACGTCTCTGCTATGTATGGAATGACGATTGTTGATGTCCATGTTTTCGGAATGCGTGGTTTCGGCCATACTTAATGTCAGTGTTTATTTTGTTGATGAAGTTCTTTGGGTAGTTGTTTTGCTTGGGAGTTTCAGTAATGTTTGATATTTCTTCTTTTTATTTCTCGTCCGTTATCAGAGAGTGTGCTCGTCTTAGAAGACTTGAAATCTTTGCGGTGGTGGGGTGTGATGATCTGAAGTTGAAATATTTATTGGAGTGGGCTTTCTTCCTGAACATGGATATACTAAAATGTCTGTTTTGCCTTCTCTTATCTAGGCAGTCTAGAAATGGTGGTTCACCGATGTCTGATTCTGCTTCCGAAGTGAACTGGATTATTGGAGATACACAGTTTATTTTCTCCAGAAAGGAATTTTGTAGATCTCGTTTTAGTACTACAAAATTATCATCCGCATATCTTAACCACATTTTAGGAGTGAGTATGCTTGAAAAGATGTTATTTTCGAATCTATTCATGAAAAGGCATCTGGGTGTTGAAATAATAAACATCACCTATCTATTCCCTCAACATTTCTGCATTAGATTCGCTGTCCAAATAACACTGCATTAGAGGAGCAAAAGCTAGTGGGCAATTTGTTTTCCTTGGTTAGGTTGTCTGAGATCATTTTACTTTGGCAGGTAAACGTGTTTTACAGATATTAAGTGATTCTTGTGGTTTTACTTTTAGTGAGTGGGTGGCACGTAGTGGTTAGGACGCTCGCCAACTATGCACATGGTCCAGAGTTTGATCCCTGATCGACACACACACACCTGATATTATCAATGGTCGGCCCAGTAAATTTAGGCTACCGATATCACAAGCTGAAAATTCCATACTTATATGGAAAGTACTGTGTGGAATCAGGCTATAATGAAATAATCAGAATAAGGTTAATTTGATTTATAGCACGCACCTGACTGATACAATGTGTTGATAAGTGGATGTCATAATTCGAGCATAATTTATTGCTCACTACAGATATTTGTTACATAACCTATTTCGAATACTTATTGGCCTAGATTGGGTATACAGAAAAGGAAGTATCAATCTTGTCTATTTTAACATAAACTAGACACCGTTTCTGAAAACTCGGTAGAATTTATGAATTTTTAATTTTATCTGGAGAGGTACAGAGATCCGATTGACAAACACTGGTTAAAAAGAGTTTTAAAATGGTCGTTTGTAAATTATATCCTGATTCGAGATGTAATTTTATAGTCTCAGATATTCAGATTACAATGTTTCATAAGGCTTGACATAGTAAACTTTAGTATGAGTACACATAGAATATGTAATATGACACATATATTACTGAGTAGCTAGAGATCATATATTCCAATCAGTTATACTTGTCAAGATCACATCAAGATGACATGAACAGCTGATGGCAATTCCTGTCGTTTAAGGCTCAGCCAGTTAGGATGTATGCAGATGGGTTGAGCTTCGAGAGTTAAATCAACTACAAACCATCCAATTCGTGGGTAGGTACTAAGACAGAATACGAAATTAGACAGTTATTATTTTATAAAACTAATATTATATTGTGTTGGTTGATTTCAGTAGATGTAGGTGAAACCTCGATCATCATTATTATACCCTTGGAGGAATACAGGGCTCCAGACAGCAAATCGTCACTTTATTATCTTGTCTTCCGTCTTTTCGCGCCTGCTCCGCGGTCTTCGACAAGCTTTCACCCTTTTCATGTCATCCTCCGAGCTACATCTAAATCGCCGTTTACCATTGCGATTCCACTTGAGAGCCTGGCGTATGGTGTCACTCAACGATCTTCTGCATATTTGTCGGGCAGTAGTTTCTTGACTTGTTCATTTTCAGAGTTACTTTTTTTGTTAATTCTTTCCAGATGGTCATCTGATCTTCAGTAGTGAGCTGTTGATAAACGTCTGTAGCCATTAGGAAACGCCTCCTGTGAATTGCTGGAAATCCTCCGACTGATTTGATATTAATGTTGTAAATAGGAATAATGAAATCCAGATAATTGAAATCAATTTGATGTCGATCAATAAATGACTATACGGTACCGTATTACTGCACTGTAAAATGATTCGTATGGTACTTGATGATTCAAATCAGGAATAATCACCTGTAGCTACAAGCGTTAACATTAAGTGGAATGACGCAGCATCTTTGACCTTTGTAATAGCATAGAACTTGAGAAAAGTTAGTGTTTTTATTAGATTTCACTTAATACCGAGGAAATGATGGGTGAAGACTGGTTATCATGTAACAATGTATGAGTATACACGACATTGTTAAATGTACTGGGAAAGGTACGAAGTATTTCAGTGTGACAGTTCCCAATGATACATCTAAGTGTACTATTTCTCTACATTTACTATTCAATGTATCAGTAAAATCTTGTAGCCAGTGTGCGTCAAAATGTTCTTCGGAGTATTTTATGAGTCCCTTTTCTAATTTGATTGATGTCTTGTCAAATTTTTGAAATGCTAATGTTTAATTCCACTTATGAACAAAATAGTAATAATAATCTACTTTATTCCAAAAACACTACTTATAATACACAATGGAATTCTTGGCATTTGTCACAATATCGCATCTGATTTATTCAAAATATAAATAAAATTAAAAATTAAAGCAAAATTAACCAGATGAATTTGTCCACGTTTACGACATAAAGTCAAAAATATTCGAAGCACGAGTTGGGAATATTAAACATAATAATAATAATAGTGAGTTTGTTTCAAACAGTATTGTCGATTCATTTTGGAAACTTTAGCATGTTATAGATTATTGGATCGAATGTTCTGTTGATATAGTATAGTGAGGGGAAGCAGAAAATTAACAGTTATTAATACAGCTTAAATGATGTTCACACTTATGAAAAATAAATAAATAAAAACAAAAAATTGAGAGGATTACAAATATAAGAAATACAATAACAATAAAGCTTGGTACTGTAAGGGTGGAGAAATGGTTTATTTAGTAGTGCAAAGAAGGTTAGTTAGTTGATGCGTAACACTATTTTTATCACATAAAGTATGTGCAGCCAAATATGGTATAGTGGAATTGGTATACTTTGATGTACGTGCATAAAGTCTTCTGAAAAGACTTATTGTTTTACCTGAGGAGGAGGAGACACAAGGTTGGAGATTCGCGTAGAGTGGGTGCTCACAGTCTGACAAAATTCCGTTAGCAAATTTTTGGCACGACATCAAGTGCCTATCACTGACAGTGTCAATGATATGGCCCAACGGGATACCACTCTCTCTACTGACTGACAGATTTCAGAGTTCTACGAAGTATGACACAGTCTTTCTTAAGCAATTCAGGAAAGAATAAG